GCTCCTCGGATGCTCTCATTTCCCGAGTTGTGCTTTTAAGTCGGAATGTGAAAACAACATGGACACTCTCATAACTACAAGATGTGTTGGATTTGTATTATTGGAGCTTTCCGACTTGAGTTCACGTGCGTTTTCTCAGTCGGGAAATTATTTTTCACGTGCGGTGCCGGTGATGATGCTTCGTCCGTCCGTTTCGGAGAACCAGAGGACAAATATTTCAATTGATCGCTCAGGCATGGCACCGAAATCTGCGTTCGGATTCGGTTCTAGTACATACCGGTTACATAGGTACCCAACCCTATATGTGACAGAACCACACACACACACACACACAGAGTCCCTGACCTCTGACTGACTCTCAAACACATCAGATTACCCACAACACACTGCTGCAGATCAGAAACCAACAGCAGAACATCTCACAACCCTCCACCAGCTGAGAGTGTGTTTATGATTAAACATGACCAACTAACTTCCTAACTACAAACACTATGTCTGATGTTCCCCATTCTGCTTTGGTTCATATGAATAACTAACAGTTAAACTGATCCCAAACACAGCTGACCTTCATCAGCCGGAGTCATCGTCACAGACACCAGATGAAGAAAAACATAAACAAAGGAGAGAAAGACGAGTCAGCAGATCAACCTTCAGCTCCTCCATCATGAGGAGCATCTCCAACACCTCATCACATGTCTCATGTAAGACTCGTTTTTGTCTCATTCCTCACAACACATGAACACTGAAGAGCAGAGATGAAGATGATGAGGATCACACACACACACGATCTTCATCACACAACACTGCTGTCAATCTACTCGTCATGTCAAAAGAAGTGAAATAAAGTGACAAGAAGCTGTGTTTCAGTGTGTGTGTGTATGTTCAGATGTTTCAGGATGTTTTCATGTTTATATGCACACAATGTTTCTATCACAACATTCAATGTAACAATAACAACAACAACACAACAGCACTGCCTGAACACGAGCAAAACATCTGGAAACAATGTGTCTGTTTCAACATGTACCTGTGAGTGAGTGTGTGTGTGTGTGTGTGTGCGTGTGTGTCTGTGTGTGTGAGTGTGTGTGTGCGTGTGAGTGTGTGTGCATGCATGCGTGTGAGTGTGTGTGTGTGTGAGTGTGTGTGTGAGTGTGTGTGTGTGTGTGTGAGTGTGTGTGAGTGATATGTGTGTTTGAGTGTGTGTTTGTGTGTGTGTGTGTGTGTGAGTGTGTGAGTGAGTGAGTGAGTGAGTGTGTGTGTGTGTGTGAGAGTGTGTAATATGTGTGTTTGAGTGTGTGATGTGTGTGTTTGACTGTGTGTTTGAGTGTGTGTGTGAGTGAGTGAGTGAGTGAGTGAGTGTGTGTGTGTGTGTGAGAGTGTGTAATATGTGTGTTTGTGTGTGTGTGTGGTGTGTGTGTGTGTGTGTGTGTGTGTGTTATTTCATCACTCAGTGAGTCTGTAACGTTAGTTCTGTTCTCACCATGAAGTCCGAGCTGAAGTTATCTTCTCCTTTCTGCTCGCCGCTTCTCAGGGCTTCAATGAATCTCTTCAGGATATTCACCTGCTCCATCCTGACGGGACGTTTCATTCATCCACGAAGCAAAAGAATAAATAAATATAAATATGTTCAGGAAAGTAGTCTTTTGAGCGATTATTCCAACATTTTTACGGCCCCATGATCCTCTCCGTCCCCGCGATGAAACGGCACAAAGAGCGCGGACAGGAGCGTCGCGCGTCGCGCTGAGGAGCCGATATATATGCTCCGTTATAAATCACTTTTAATTTCAGTCAGAAATCACTTTTAATAACGAAATAAACAGCGTGCCCCTCCCTGCGGCTGCCACATTCACACTGCACACACAACCGGACCGCCCGAACGCCGCTGGCCCCGCTCCCGCCCCCCGCCGCTCCTCTGGCTGTGATTGGACAAAGACCGAGACTTCTGCAGCGGTGATTGGCCGAATCCTCTCTTCAATCAAAGACACGCTCCTATTCCGTGTTCCTGACTGCCAGGTCTGACTGTCAATCAGCGCGTCCTGTGAGCTCATCTCTGATTGGCTGAATATGCTCCCGCCCACTTCCCTGAGCCAGGTTAGACCCGCCTCTTCCGCGCTGACATACGGGGTATTTAACAGCGTCACCGTCTACACAGCATTGTCTCAGATTCATGTGTGATGGTTTATGTAGAGTGTAATTCATTTCCATTGTTTTACAGTGATTACAGAGTTTTTCACCCGTATTATGGGTGTGCTCATAAAGTTTAGATTATGTGTGCGTCATTTACACTATATTTATGAAACAGTATTTCTGACATTTATTCTGTCATATTAAGATTTGAGTTTTATATGCTTCTATATGGTTTCCTCTTTGTACCATCATGCAACATGTCATTTTTAGTTGCTCTTTTTTGCTTTGGGGTTTGGATATTGTTGTACAATGTGTTTAATCAGATGTTGTTTAATCAGACTTGTTCAAGTTGGTTTTTCAGTGCACATGAACACATTTACAGTGATTAATTAAATGGAAGGGCGAGACGTTACACTGTTTCACAAATATAGCCTCAAGTCTTCATATTTTCTAAAGATTATAATGTGTAAACAGGAGACTAGAGTGATAAAATCAATTACTAATGTATGACACAGAAAGGGACGTGACGTAACCACCCACAAAAGTGCTGGTATTATGAAGCATACTCAGCCACAGGGTTACATCAGTAACACACAACTAGACGTTCATCCTATAGAACAGCTCTAAACATGATTTCTGCTCCTTTCTAAAGACTTATGAATGAGATGATATTCATAGAGACACTGAATATAGACGGCTTTTATTCTAGAGAAGGAGAAACCCATTCATCCATCTGTCCGTCTCTCACACACTCACTAGACTGAAACACTTCAGTCATGTTTCTTGTGTGTGTGTGTGTGTGTGTGAGTGAGAGAGAGTGTGTGTGTTTGTGTGTGTGTGTGAGTGAGAGAGAGTGTGTGTGTGTGTGATCCGGTGGGTCAGTCAGGCTGATTGACTATGTGTTTGTGATGATCAGTGCAGCTCGACACACACACACACACACTCTCTCTCTCTCACACACACACACACACACACACACACACACACGTAGCTGCAGAGAACTAGTGTGAAAGAGCTTGCACAAAAATACTTTCCCTCCAGCCAGTGACACACAGGAACGTTCTGGAACACAGACAAGAGGAAGTGATCAAAACAACATCTTCTCAGTGACCGTCTCCCAGCTCTGCTCTGAGTGAAGCTGCTCTTCATCTGTCAGTCTGAAGACCTCCTGTTTTCTATCATTTATAGGTGACTTTACTATTACAGAGATGCTCGTCTTTTGACTGACAGCATGAGATCTGAGCTGCTTCAGATCCACTAGAACAGTGTGTGTGTGTAACAGTGTGTGTGTGTGTGTGTGTGAGTGAGAGAGAGAGAGTGTGTGTGTGTGTGAGACGAGCTGCACTGATCATCACAAACACATAGTCAATCAGCCTGACTGACCCACCGGATGAGAGCAAAAGTATATACTTAATATAATAAATCATATTTTCGGTCAGTTACATTAATGAAATCTAATAGAATTAACCATCCTATAGAGCAGGGCTGGGCAGCTTCGGTCCTGGGGGGCCACTGTCCTAATCAAACACACCTGAACAAGCTAATCAGTGTCTTCTAGATCACTAGAAAGCTACAGGCAGGTGTGTTTGATTGGGGTTGGAGCTAAACTCTGCAGGACAGTGGTCCTCCAGGACTGCTAAAGAGAGTAAAGTACAATGTTTCTTTTATCTTCTTTTCACTGTGAAGCTGCTGTGGAACAATCTGTCTGATGCTGCCATCTAGTGATCACAGTTTGTACTTCAAGCTGCACTGATTGATCTTTGAACAATAAATGCAGTGTTTCAAAGCAGCTTCATCTGTGGCTGGTGTTCAACTCGACTGATTGAGATACAGCAACGTTCGTTTCTTTCACCTATCATTATTATGTATCTATTGTGAACAAATGGTCATGGAATACATACCATTTGTCACGTTGCAGCACTATTGAATTATTAACGATCAGATAAAATCACCATAATCTGTGTTTGTTCATCAGGTCATATTGAAGATCGGGTCATGGCTGTATCAGGAGTTTGGAGATATTTTCACTGGCTGTATCTTGTAAACCGTTCAAGCTTGATGTTGTTGGACTGAGATTCCTGCGCTGTCAGATGATGTGATGAATGAACAGACTCACACGCTCCACATTCATCACTGCAGTGGCTTTATTCTGTACAGAGTTTCACTGTCTGCTGGCAGTCAGAGATTCACATGAGAAAAACTAAATCAGCACATGGAAATATATTTACAAGATAAAAACACATATTACCAAACTTGAAATTTACAAAATTAATTTAAGAGCCAAATTTCTCTTTAAAAAAACAAAACAGAAACACCAGAATGTTTGCTCTCTGTAGAAACACTTCTGTGTTCAAGTACAAATGTTTGAGATTGAATTACGCGTCCAGAGCGGCACACAGATGATCAGCAGCCGCAGGTTGGTCAGCTGCTCCAGCCGCGCGCACAGAGTCACACAGAAGCCCACCTTCATCATCAGAGCCAGCAGATACCAGAGCTTCAGCCGCGGGTCGAACCCGGCCCGGCAGCGCCCCGCCACCTTCACGCCCAGCATCAGCAGCAGGATGCTGTCAAAGATCCAGACGGGCAGAAAGATCAGGAACCAGCTCCATTTGACCTTTCCATCCAGCTTCAGCACCAGCAGGACGAGGAAGAGGAGCGAGAAGATCCAGGTGAGCAGAACCCGCTGAGCCAGAGACATCTGGACCGCCTGACCACACAATCAGCTCTGGCAGGTCAGTCACCCACTGTAAAAATCATCATCATCATCATCCTCATCCTCATCCTCATCATCATCATCATCCTCATCCTCATAATCATCATAATCATCATCATCATCATCCTCATCTTCATCATCATCATCATCATCCTCATCTTCATCCTCATCATCATCCTCATCATCATCATCCTCATAATCATCATAATCCTCATCCTCATCCTCATCATCATCATCCTCATAATCATCCTCATCCTCATCATCATCATCATCATCATCATCATCCTCATCTTCATCATCATCCTCATCCTCATAATCATCATCATCCTCATCCTCATCCTCATCCTCATCATCCTCATCTTCATCCTCATCATCATCACTGAGGATCTTCATCCTGCGAGCGTCGATAACGCGCATGACGTCACTCACCGCACAGTCCCGCCGAGGCCTGCAGGATCATCCGTTAACTCTCATCAGAACCGTAATGAACCGTTCTTCATCGGAATCATGATGATGTGAATCGTTCTTTGGCTTTGTTGGGACGCGCGCTGTTGTCTGCAGCTGTCAATCACACTGTGATTCTGTTTCCGGGTTCAGCAGCGTGTCCCGGATGTGTGGAATATCGGCGTCCATAGAAACACCGATCAGCTGACCATCGTTTCATGTGTTGTGTAACGGTTTGTCTTCGGTTACTTCAGCTAGACAGGCGTTATCGTCACGCTGGCGGTTATGACGCAGCGCTTCTGTCACGTGACCTGCACCTTACTCGTGCGTGATTCATGATGCGCGTTCACGCCTGCGCGCGACCCACCGTCAGGCTCGTACCCTGCACATCCCGCTCGCTCGCGCTGCAGTCTGTGGCTCGTGTCGCTATTATTCCTCAGCGTGTGTGTGTGTGAGAGTGTGAGAGTGTGTGAGTGTGTGTGTGTGAGAGTGTGTGAGTGTGTGTGTGAGAGAGTGTGTGAAGATCCACAGATCGAGTGAATTCAACTGCGCGTTTATTCCGTGCGCGCCGGTAACGCGGGCGGCTCTACAGTGAACGAGAGGTAACTACAACTGCGATCTTCATCTTCATCTTCATCATCAGCAGCAGCAGCAGCATCAGCATCTTCACCGTCTCATCACATCAACCTTCCGTCTGTTTGTCGAGCATGACCGACTGAAGCGAATAGCAGCGGTAAGATCATCTCTCTCACACACACACACACACACACTCTCTCTCGCCCTCTCACACACACACACACTCTCTCTCTCTCTCTCAC